AAAAAAAAAAAAAAAAAAGACAAGACAAGAAAGAAAGAAAGTGCAATCTCCCAAACAGCACTACAGTAATATATAGCGTGACCTCAGAGGAGGTAGGAATATCAGTGCTAGATATTGCAATGCTGAGAAGTCGCCCTGGGATGAAGCCATAGGTGGGAAATTGACTCAGAGGGCAGCACACCTGCTGTTCATGTGAAGTCCAAAGCCTCTTTGCTCAAGTACCAACTGGCCCAGATCAGATCAACAACAGCAGGACAGCCAGAGCGGGGGATATATCCTGATGAAAGATTCACCTCATCATTTGTAAGGTGGAACTAGTCAAATCCTGGGTGTTCTCATCAACACTAGAAAGAAACGTGTTGTTTAGAGCGGCGCTTCTCAACTGTTTTTGCTTCAGGACATAGATTTTACATTGGACATCAAGTGGCCCCCCAAACACAGTACCAGAATTGTTTATCATACAAGAGTAAACAAAAATGTCAAGCAACATGTTCATGTGAGGTTCTGCCTTATTTCTTGCTTCTGCCCAGTGACAGATGAATTTGCACAAGGTACTACAATTTGTATCATACACAAGTAATTTAAAATTAAACACTCAAATGTATTAATATTCCAAAACAGCATAGAGTCTGATCAGATGATTATGCATGATTAGTGATGCAACAATATAAAACATTTTCAATAATTATTTTAATGCTATGGCCAATATTAAAATTCTATTTTAAACTTTTTTAGTCTAAATAAATAAAAACCAAAACACTAAAAACTAAAACTTGATCGTTTTAAATGCTGCATGTCAATTTAGTCATCACATTATAACGTATGAAAAAATTGAAATGCTATGAGATTTGGCAAATATAATATTTGAAATTGTTAAATACATGTTGACATGTCAAAATTGTGAAAATTAACATGAATAATCCAATATCAACTGATACATTACAATATAAATATATATTAACATTCTAAAACAGCATAGAGTCTGACTAGATGCAGGACCTTTGATGTCAACAAAAACACAGATAAATGCATGATTAGGAATGCAACAATATTAAAGTTTCCAATAAGTATTGTAATGTTATGGCCAATGACGATACCCAATATTAAAATTATATTTTAAAATACATATTATATTTACACATTATATTTAAAATTTTGTCTAAATAATGTAGGCATCACAACACTATAATGTACAAACCTGATATGTAAAGATTTGCTAAAGATTACATTTAAGAGTGTAACTAAATTATTAGTGTTTTTAAAGCTTATCATTAGAAGTCAGAATAATAACCTATATGTAAAAACAGGAAAAATGAACATGCACATTTAAATGTCCAAAATCGACTGATACAATAAATTAAAAAAGCTAATATCATCGATAATTATAGTTTATATTATAGCATTATTATATTATGAACCCCTATGCATGATAATATAGTTAACTGCATTCTATTATCTGCATTTAGCACAGCTTTTTCCTGCTGCCAGAACAGACTTTTTTTTTTTTTTTTTTGCGGTGCGACAGGAGTTGAGAACCACTGGTTAAAAATATATATCTGTACATTAGATATAATTTCTCAGAACGAGTGAAAAGGCTTCATTCTGTCTAATTTGGCCCATTTAGTCAATATTCCCACTTCACAAGGGCTAAAAGTCAGGACCAAACTAGTAATCTACATCATTCTGTGCTGTAGTGGAAACTGAAATTATCAGTTATATATAACACACACCACAATAGATTGTTGGCCATGTGAAAAATCATGAGTATCCAATCACACAGAGACTATAAATCATTGATACAAGTCAATCTTGCGCTCTCTTTTGCAACCACATCTGGCAAAAACACACAGTGGACTTCAAACTTCAGTTCAAGCAAAATGGTGATGGGTGAAATTCAAAAAGCCGTAATACTGTAAAAGCTTAGATTCCGCCAGTTATACAGGCAGAAAATGGTGAGAAAGTGCTGCTTTGAATTTGTACATTGCCAGGCTGAGGAATCCAAACCCCATGACACAGAGATGACTGAAACAGATTTAATTAATTTTATCTGTCATTAGTGCTCGCTTGAATAATATATTAATACTCACATAGATGTGGGAACTGCGCAAACATAGACAGCTGTCTAATTAAATATCAATGAAAGAAAGTTTCTGCCCATCGATATCACACACAAGGCTTGTGCATTAAATATGTTTAGTGCTTTTTCCTTCTGACAGAACAGACTTTTTTTTTTTTTTTTTGCGGTGCGACAGGAGTTGAGAACCACTGGTTAAAAATATATATCTGTACATTAGATATAATTTCTCAGAACGAGTGAAAAGGCTTCATTCTGTCTAATTTGGCCCATTTAGTCAATATTCCCACTTCACAAGGGCTAAAAGTCAGGACCAAACTAGTAATCTACATCATTCTGTGCTGTAGTGGAAACTGAAATTATCAGTTATATATAACACACACCACAATAGATTGTTGGCCATGTGAAAAATCATGAGTATCCAATCACACAGAGACTATAAATCATTGATACAAGTCAATCTTGCGCTCTCTTTTGCAACCACATCTGGCAAAAACACACAGTGGACTTCAAACTTCAGTTCAAGCAAAATGGTGATGGGTGAAATTCAAAAAGCCGTAATACTGTAAAAGCTTAGATTCCGCCAGTTATACAGGCAGAAAATGGTGAGAAAGTGCTGCTTTGAATTTGTACATTGCCAGGCTGAGGAATCCAAACCCCATGACACAGAGATGACTGAAACAGATTTAATTAATTTTATCTGTCATTAGTGCTCGCTTGAATAATATATTAATACTCACATAGATGTGGGAACTGCGCAAACATAGACAGCTGTCTAATTAAATATCAATGAAAGAAAGTTTCTGCCCATCGATATCACACACAAGGCTTGTGCATTAAATATGTTTAGTGTTTATGGCGATCATGGCACAATTCAACCACAATCATAGCTTGTGGGTCATTAATAACATTAATAACAAGTCATTCATGAAAACTGACTGAATGGGTAAAGAATAAATCGATCTTTGTTTTACTAAACTCTTTACTCGGGTCTCACTTGCAGATTTAGTTATAATCTGATATGAAGCAAAATTATTAATATTTTAAAACAGTATAGAGTCTGATTAGACGCAAGACCTTTGACGTTAACAAAAACACTAATAAAAGCATGATTAGGGATGCAACAAAATTAACATTTCCAATAATTATTTGAATGTTATGGCCAATGAAGATAAATACCCAATATTAAAACTCTATTTTAGAAATTAAAATGCCATTTTTGTCTAAAATAAAAATAAATAAAAAAATCAATAATTTTAAATGTTACATGTGAATTTAGAATCACAACATTATAAATGTGTAAAAAAAATGTATATTTTGAGATTTGAAATTGCTTTAATGCATTAATACTCACACAGATGTGGGAATAGTGCAAACATAGACAGCTGTCTGATTAAATATCTATAAAAGAACGTTTCTGCCCATCGATATCACACACAAGGCTTGTGCATTAAATATGTTTAGTGTTTATGGTGATCATGGTACAATTCAACCACAATCATAACTTGTGACTCATTAAAAACAAGTCATTCATGAAAACTGACTGAATAAGTAAAGAATAAATCGATCTTTATTTTACTAAACTTTTTACTCAGGTCTCACTTGCAGATTCACTTGTTACGATCTGATACGAGGCTTTAATTTGTGTGCCCCAGTTTGGATAGCGGTCTGTCGCTGAGCCCGAACGAGGAGCAGAAACAAACAATGAACAACCATAATCTGGGGCTTGAATCGCAGGTCACCGGGGGACTGCTTGCGCTGCCTCCCAGTAAGTGTTGTGATGTCAGCTCCTTTACACACTCGCCATCCATCTTACTGAAGCAATGGAGTCCACTGCGAAAAAAGAGAGAGGGAGAGAAAAACAATGGCTGAACGTATGTTTAGGAAAATAAATGAAATCTAAGGGTAAAGTACTCCTCCCCAGATGCGAAATTTTTGACATCGAAATGGGAAACAAATGACGTAGGGGCCCCGCTAGGCCACAGCAAGACAGCTGGGAGAACAAATGTCCTCTGATCTAAATGCCCTCTGGTTTTAAGCATCTAACCTACGAGCATTACGCCAGGGCCAGCTAGCTGCTGGAGAAAGGCTAACGCAAGCCATTATGCTCCTCTGCTCTTTACCTGCGCAATAGAGACAAGACAGAGAAGACAATGGAGCTCATCTTCTGCTAACCACAGAGCACCTGAAGCAGAGCATGTCTTATTCCTCGCCCGAGGCCTTCCACCCCGTACAGGCTCAGATCACACCAAACAGTTCATCTTTAAAGCACGTCGCATGGAGACGCCGCAGTCATACTGATACCCAGGCTAAAGGTGCGAGGCTCTAGCATGCCTTTCTATCCCAGCATGCAAAGCTCAGAAAGATGCAGGCTCTTAGATGAATACCCAGCAGCTACCTACGTTATAAATAATGTCTGAGACCCATAAAAATACATTGTTAGCCATATCTGAAAACAGGTGTTTTCTGAAACAAATCGACAAAATAAAATGCAATTACATCCACAATTTTTTCCCCTAACATTTTATAAACCCTAATGTCTATTTTAAATTATTCAACCTAAAAAAAAGCGTATTTTGGTAAATAGTTTTTCCTAACCACTATTTAAAGTGTCTAATTCTACAGACATTTCCATTAAACCTAAAACACAATGCAAATACATGTAACTCAGCTGTAAAAAAAATAAATACAGATTCCTTCATAATAATACAGTACGTTGTGCCCCATCTTTACAGTTTTTTGGAGTGCAACCTAAAAAAAATACAAAAATACAAAAATATTTGAGCTACTTTTGGTAAATATTTTTCCCTAAACCCTTAAGCCTAACTATTAAGCCACTACTAAAAGCATCTAATTTAAATTATTCAGCCTGAAAAGAAAAAAAATTACAAAAACAAAGACTCCATTCAAACTCCAATTAAACTTCGTTTTGTAGATAATTCCACATTTTGTGTCCTATTTTTGGTAAACATTTTTTTTTTTCATTTTCTTACTACCCTTACACCCTAAATATTTAACCATTAATTAAAGCACCCATTTTAAATAATTAATTCCAGGCTTATTTGTGCTATTTTTTAGCAAATAATAATTTCTGAATATAATTTGAGATATTTAACAGTAAAGTATGAAAATTCTCCTCTGTAAATATTAATAAAACAGCATTCCAAATATAACCAACAGCAATGACCTCACATACTGTATATATTTGCATATTAAATTCCGTTTGATGATCATTCTTACATCTGTTTGCATATCAAATTGTGATTGGTCTTTCTTGCATCTACCATCTGTAGCTGCCTTTACACTATAAAGATGGTGTAATGTTGTGTGATGATTTTTGCCCGACAGGAAATAAAAGGCCGAAATAAACTTTAACACTCTACTTTTGCTGCCATACAAGCACTGTTATGAATCTAGCTATGAATAAACATCTTGAATTGAATAATACAGTGACTTGCATTGATTCTAAAGGTAGTTAGAAGCAGTGCAGCACTGTTCATTGTGTTCTATCATTTCAAAACTCTTTGATTCCGCCTCTGCCTCTTGAATCATTTCCTCTCAGTTCTGTCTCTGGCCTCCCAGTCTTCTCTCCCACAACCATCATAAATTAAAGACCAGCACTGGTCTTCACAGCAGCTGATGTAATTAAGCATGTCTTCTTCACACTTCTCCTACAAGGCTTCTCTTTGTTCTCCAACAGAGCATCTAAGCTTCGCTTTTAGTCATGAGCCATCTAAATGGGAGTGAATCTTATCCTTCATAAATGCTGTGACAAGCTCACCTTATTTTAACTATGTAAGATATGATAATATGAACCCTCTGTCAAAGGAGCATCATGCGGTTGAAGTTGTACTGAGTTTCATTCAGGATTTTTTCTCTTCTAGCCACTTCTTGTGCATAACACTACTCATAAATCAGATGAAACATTTCACATAAACAAAATATCACTTCAAGGAGGATTTTTAAGAATAAAAATAGAAATGTTGTATTAGTGCACTACCAGTGTTTTCAGGAAAAGGAAAAACTTAAATATGATTTCTCAATGATGAGAACATAGCAGACTAAAAAAATGGCTAAGACTAAAAATATTATTTGTAAAGTATATCAATAAAATACACTGATCATAACAATAATAATAATAATAATAATAATAATACCACAAAAGTGTGATTTTTTGTAAACAAAACTTTACATATAATTAAAAATATTAAAAAAGTGTAACTGTCTGAACATTTAACTTTTCTGCCCTATTCATTTTTTTTCCCCCCTCTTTCCCTAATCTGTTATATATGGGGTAGTCCTGTTTTATTTAATAATCTCAGCTATTTGTGACCCTGGACCACAAAACCAGTCTAAAGTGTCAATTTTTCAAAATAAATAAATAAGATTTATTGAATAAACAAGCTTTCCATTGATGTATGGTTTGTTAGGATAGCACAATATTTGGCCGAGATACAACTATTTGAAAATCTGGAATCTGAGGGTGCAAAAAAAATCAAAATATTGAGAAAATCGCCTTTAAAGTTGTCCAAATGAAGTTCTTAGCAATGCATATTACTAATCAAAAATTAAGTTTTGATATATTTACGGTATGAAATTTACAAAATATCTTCATGGAACATGATCTTTACTTAATATCCTAATGATTTTTGGCATTAAAAAAAATCTATAATTTTGACCCATACAATGTTTTTTTGGCTATTGCTACAAATATACCCCTGCGACTTAAGACTGGTTTTGTGGTCCAGGGTCACATTTGTGTTTTGTTTTTTGTTCTTGTTTCTTTTGGGCGATGTCTTGTTATTTTTGTATTACAGTGAAAATTCAATAAAAATAATTATAAAAAATAAATAAAAATAAAAATATGTTGCAAAAAAATGGTAGGGCAAGTGAAAATATCAGCAAGGCGACTCAAACTCGACCACTGAGCCTGCAGAAAAAAAAATGCATACATTTATATGGAAACACTGAACTTGTGATTTAAAAAATTAAATACATTAACCATATTTATACAAGGTATGTGTGATCTGTTGTTCTGTCTGGATTTGCTGCATTGCATTCTGAAAGTCATTGTCTTGTTAAAGGCTGGCCCTAAAGCACTTCTAATTTCCACGGTCTACCTATGCCTCCTATTGGCCTGTTTCATTCAGTCACCCTACACTGCATGCTGAGCGCAATCTAAAAGAGCAGAAAGACAGCGAGAAACAGAGGTGGTTGAGGGTGGGGGCAAGAGGAGGGAGATGAGGTTAAGAGAGAAAGAATGATATCTTATGAATGTTGACCACTGTCTCCTTACATAAATCTGCACATTAAGTACAATAAATGAGGCTTTTGCCGCTGAGGCTTGGAGAATGGAGTCTGATTCAGTAATGTCATTTAAAAGCATTCACATCAGAGGAGATGGCGGACCCAGATTAGGGAGCCCCAGTTATCATCAGGCTTGGTGTGTCACACACAGTCCAGTGAATGATAGCTCCCAAACACAGTAAAACATGAGACATGTCACACTTAGGTTTTAAATTACCCTCACATCAGCGTTTGTCTATTTGAAACTGAAATTTCTACATGCCTTACAACTAAAAGAAACAAAAAGAGATGCAAAACTGTTCACTATTAAATATATATAGTTACACAATATGTATGAACAAACATGGATAAATAAGTGTTAACAGTACACAAGTGGGGAAATGGCTCTAAGCTTGATTAGAAAAAAAACTGACCCTTCAACTGAATTTAATCCTAATCTTCATTTTAAACTCTGTTTTACTTCTACCCTTTCATACTGATGAAATAAACGCAGTATTTTGTCAATCCATTTGTATTGTGAAGTCTGTCCCTGTTTATTGTCACTTTGATAACAGAGTCCACATTAATAACCAAAAAAACTAATAAAAATAAATACAAAATCATAAAAATATATATAGAAATGAATATATAATAATATACAAATATGTAATTAAAAAGCACAACTGTTTTCAACCCGATAATAAGAAAAGTCAAATCAGCATATTAGAATTATTTTTCAAGGATCATGTGACTGAAGACTGAAGTAATGACTTCAGTCATTTGTGAGCTTTACCATCACAATTACATTTTAAAATATATTAAAATAGAAAACGGTATATTTAATAATATAATATCTCAAAATATTACTGTTTTTTTTTTCTTTACACAGTCTTGCTGAGCATTAGAGACTTCTTTCAAAACCATTAAATAAAATCTTATCAACCCCAAACTTTTTTTTGGTAGAATAATGTTTTAAACAGCTTAATGTTTAAAACAGTTGTGATGCTTAGTGCTGTTTGTATCTAATATTATTTTGTTGATATATACACCTGAAATGTATGTACTGGCTTCATAAAAAAAAAAAAAAACATGATCATAAAAGCCACATTTTGTTTAAATATAAATAAAAAAGTGAGGCAGAACCTCTTAAAAGAAAAAAACAGCTATTAGATCTTTTAATTTTATTTAATTTAAATTCTAAAATCAGGTAAGGTTCTGATCATTTTCCACACCTGATGACAGGAACCAGACTTTCAGCTTTTATTATATGCTTTTGTTCAATCCAAAAGCTCCAGATGGAATATGTGCATTTATGTAGTAAAAGATATAAGACTATTCTAAGCTTCATACATGACCTGTGAGGACACTACATCAGTGTGAAATCACTAAACGCACGTGCATTCAGCATTAGGGCCAAAAAACCATGCATTAGTATAGTAATAAATATTGATGCACGCTAAGAATGACAGCATAAATGTGTGGAATCAGAGGGATTAGAATGTTTGAAGAAATGAAGCATGTAATGACGCTAGATTCACCTCCATTAT